AAGAAGCAATGCTCAAGGTAAGAACCGGAGCTCCCCTAAAAAGAGCTGCAGCCGTCTTCAGAGACAAAAAGGACACAAGCTCCTCCAATGATGAGAACAGCTGAGTTCATGTCAGGAAAGCCAGCATGACAAGCTCCTCCAGGAGAATCAACAGCTCACCATCTTCCTCTCCAGTTCTCTTTTTATGCTATTGGTAACAATCCTCAGGTGGGCCTTCCATACCCAAAACCATACGATTCAGTTGAGCAGAGTGTTACAAGTTTGCCATTAGTTAATCTACTACACTGCCTCCCAGAGGGAATTAATATAATTGGTATCACCCGGTCCAGTAAAGCCCAGCTAGCCATCAGTCATCCAGGTGGGTGGCCAGAGTGCCTCTCCCTTCTCAAAATGCCTTTGTTATTTCCATGTACCCTTGCTATGAAACTCTTGGCTCAATACTTGTAATCTTATTTGTTGATTATAGTTTGACCCATGTTGTATTTACCTTGTGATTTTATTCTATAAAACATTATTAGAGAAGCGGCCTCAGTGGGGTGGCAACCTAGTTTTTGTCTCTCAGGAGCTATTGCTCAATAAACATTTCCTATTCTTAACCTCCTTTGTTCTTTAGAATTTATTCTTTGATTTTTGGGGGCACACAAACTGGCATATCTGACATCTAGCAGGTTGGGTGTTATACTTTCCTCTCTATCGGGATTGTGGTGTGCTATATCCCATGCCTGGCCAAAAGCCTTTTTTTTTTTTTTTGAAACAGAGTCTTGCTATGTAGTTCAGGCTGGCCTTTAAATTCACTATGTAGCCCAGGCTGATCTCAAACTCATCAAGATCCTCCTGCCTCAGCCTCTGAGTTCTGGGATTAGAGGTGTGTTCCACCACACCTGGCTCAGTTACTGTTAAAATCAAAGCTGAGGATGTGGTTCAGTTGTACAGTCTTTGCCGAACATGCACAAAGCCCTGATCCACAGCACTGTAAAGGGGGAAAAAGAGTAAAATGCTTAAGGAAAGAGAAATTCAACTATTATTTCTTTTGTACCGATAGGATACTGAAAGTAGCATGTGCCTTATAATCATTAATCATAAGGGAAAAAACTGGCATAACTAGATTGCAGGTGTTTTAGATGGATAATGAACACAACAAAAGTACCAGCACATTAAGGGTAAATTTTTCATAAATATCTTTATACTCTAAGGATTAAGGAGGATTTTGTTATCAAATTGCTTCTGTTTTTTGGGGGTACTGGGAACTCAGGACCTCATGCTTGCTAGGCCGGCATTGCACTACTGAACTAAACCCCTAGCCCCTCAAATCCTGCCTAATTTAGGCTTTGCACCTTAGACTCAGAGTCCCCAGGGCATTATATTCCATAAATAGCAATACCTTGGTAAGTTGCCCCTAGCAACTAGTACTGCAGTCTTCCTTAATTTTTTGCAGAGGAAGCCTCAAAACATGTTCCAGAAGCACACAAAGCAGACAGATTTCAGTAAAACCATCACACGTTCTCAGTAGATGACTGTCAGGTTAGCAAAACAGCACAGAGCAGGGTGGGATTTTCTTTAAGCCTAAATAAATAGGGGTAGATGATGTTAGCTTATTGGTAATACTGAGCACTTACCCAGCATGTATGGAGCCCTGAGTTCAATCTCTGGGACCACAAAAAATTAAATTTAAAAGTATAGGGAAAAAAAAATAAAAAAAAAAAATAAAAGTATAGGGAACCTTTCCTAAAAATTTAGAACTGAGCCAATAGGCCATTTATAATGATCAAATAGTGAAAGGTCTGTTGCAACTGGACTATTTAACACTTCACATTAAATCACTTATGGGAGAGTTGACTTAATTCCTGAGTTTGGTGGAAAATGCGAGATATAGATATACATTAGGTAGCTGGGCGTGGTGGTGCATGTCTGTAATCCCAGCACTTAGGAGGCTGAGGCAGGAGGATCGCTGTGAGTTCAAGGCCAGCCGGGGCTACATAAGTGAGTTCAAGGCCAGCCGGGGCTACATAAGTGAGTTCAAGGCCACCCTAAATGACCTAGAGAGACTCTGTCTCAAAAAAAAAAAAAAAAAAGAAGATATACACTAGATTTACTCTGTTGCCTGACTAGAAGGGCTGAGGAGGAGCTAACACAGCATCACAGCATCCAACAGGCGGAGGCACAGGCCAAGAGGGTGGGCTTGTTATGACAAACAGCTACATTTGAAAACAGATGCTGAGAGGTGGAGGAGGATACTTTGGTCCATCACCTAACTCTGCTCCTCACACGAGTAAGGAATGGAGGCCTCCGGAAGGAAATCCGAATGCCTGGAACCAGCACTAGGACTTAAGGGGCCTGTGATTGTCTTGAGCAGGATGCTGTTGGTGACACTTGGGCTCACTCAGAAACTTCTGAACACCATGCTCTGGGAGTGGAATTGTTCCAAGTTGAGCATATGCGCTGCTGAATCACACACTCTCAGCAGAGTCCTAGTATGCACTGTTTTGTGTCTGGTTTATTTCATTTGACACAGCACTGTTGAGATTCATCTGTGCCGTGGGATGTAGCAGGGCTCCGAAAACTGCTGAATTTTGTCCCTTTCAGGTTCTCCACGATTCTGCTGATGGCCACTTGGGTTGATTCTAGTTTTGGGTAACATGAAGAGAGCCATTGTGAATATTCTTGGTGAGTCTTTGGAAGCTCTGGGTTTTGTTTGTTCATTTGTTTTTTTTCTTTTCTTCTCTTTCCTTCCTCTTTTTGTTTCTTTGCAATGTGGGAAGCCCTTGGAATCGCTTATAATACTGAGACTGCATGAAAACAACGTTTAACTCACTTATGTAGCCCAGGCTGGCCTTGAACTCACAGCAATCCTCCTGCCTCAGCCTCCCAAGTACTGGGATTACAGGCTTGTGCCACTATGCCTGATGAGTCATGCTGTTTCTGATCTGTGCTGCAGTATGCGTCCTGAGACTGGAGCCTGGGATGGGGCGGGAGATGCCAGCTGCTGTAGGACTAGACTGCTAAGTTTCTGGGACTTTCCACATTACCAAGAGGCCTTCAGAAGTAGTTGGGAGACCCTGTAGCCCTTCAGTCTTATGACCCTTGCCAGCTGCTTATTTTTTTCCTGGCTTTACATTGTCCTCCAAAGACTAGACTCCCAAAGCAAATGGTCACCGAGCACTTCTGTATCTCTCATCGCTCCATCCGACTCCTGTGCAATTTCTTGTCCTCTGTATCTACCAGAAATGCCAGTTAGGCCCAGGTTCTGTTCCCAGCATCCCATATACTGTACACTCTATCTAGCAGTCTTGCTCCTCACATGATTTCAACTATCTGCAGCTATCTTCTGCTTCAAATTGCACATTTGTGTCCTGACCTCTCCCCATTCCAAATTCTTACATTAAAGCCTTAATCCCCAATGTGTTGGTGTTTGGAGGTGGGACTTTTGGGATGTAATTGGGTTGAGATGAAGTCCTAAGAGTGGAGTCCAATGATGGAATTAATGTCTTTATAAGAAGAAGATTTGAGCCAGGCATGGCAGTTTATGCCTGCAATCCCAGCACTTGGGAGGCTGAGGCAGGGGGATTGCCATGAGTTCAAGGCCAGTTTGGGTCATATAGTGAGTTCAAGGCCAGCTGAACTACATAGCAAGACCCTGTCTCAAAAAAACTGAAAAAGAAAGAAAAGAGAAAGACTTGGGAAAAGCCTTTTTTCTTCCATATGAGGATACAGTAAGCAAGAAGACATCTACTTCCAAACCAGGAAGCAGGCCCTCACCACCACCTTAATTTTGGACATCCTAGCCTCCAGAACTGCAAAAAATTTCTGTTAAATCATTCAGTCTACCTATGTTTAAAATCCAGAACCTTTATACTGAGCTGTGTCCTTTTTATTTTTTTCCAAGATAAAGTCTCATTAAATATGCAGGGCTGGCCTAGAACTTGTGATCCTCAGCCTTTGAACCTCCCAAGTGGCTGGGAGACATGGGATGACAGGAGGAGCTGAAATTGTGAAGGGTCATTCTTAGGGCCCTGTTTTTGCTCTGAGGCAACGCAGTCTAGCAAAGAGGAAAATTGCTGAGGCTGGAAATGAACACAGAAACTGTGCAGAAGTCCTGTTTTTTTGAAATGTTTGGCTTTAAGATGCTCTCTACAGTACAGCACAAAGAAGAGACTCAAATTCATCTTTGGCAAAGTATGAAGAGAAAAAAACCTGAACTGCTTTCAGGAGCGGATGCTCTAGAAGGGCCTATCACTCAAGCCCTGAGGGTGGATCCCTTTGTTTTACCCTAGTCCAAGTTCATTTTTGGTACTATAACAAAATACCTGAAGCTGGTGTTTATAAAGAAAAGAGGTTTATTTGGCTCACAGTTCTGGAGGCTACAGAGCATGGTGTCAGCTCTGGTGAAGGCTCCATGGTGGATGGCAGGAGCACTTTCAAGAAAGAGATAACGTGGATAAATAGGAAGCCATGAAGCAAGTCGGGGCTCAGGCAAAGGCTTGCATAAAAAAGAACTCTAGGAGACCAGGATCCCCTCTGTGGGCAGCCCTCTAGGGTTTAAGGACCTCCCACCAGGCCTGCTCTTAAAGGCCCACCACCTCCCACATCTCCACGCTAAGGACCAAGATTTTTGCGTATGCGCGTTACATCCAGACCACACCACCACGCTGAAAGCCCTTGAGTTACAGCAGCAGACACAAGTCCCAACCTGACCCAAAGTTTTCGGGGAAAATTGTGACATCAAAATTAATCTGAAAGCAGATGTTTTAGAGTTAGACTAAGTGGCCAAATGAACTGGTGTGTGAATTGTATACAGCTGAATCAGCCAGGCATGGTGGCACACGCTTGTAACCTCAGTACTCAGGAGGCTGAGGCAGGAGGATTGCAGGGAGTTCAAGGCCAGACTGAACTACATAGTGTCTCAAAAACAAAACAACACAACAAAAAAAACAACAAATATATTTGGATCATGTTGCAATTTGGTATTAAAATTAAATCTTTTTCTAAACGCAACACAAGAGTTTTCCTGGATTCCAAATGAGTATTTATTAAAATGACAGTACATTATAGTGGTTTAAAAGTTAGAAAACCTTAAAATAAGGTTAATAACCAGAAATCAAGATAACAAACATTCTCAAAGGCATATGGAAATAATTAATTATAATTTTTCCCTTGATTCCATTTCATCCATATAAACAGAAATTTCCCTGTAAAAAATCTGTGAAATGAAAGCTTAGGGTCCATGACTCCTTTCTGAGTTTTTGCCTCTTCACAAAATAAGACATTTTAGGCTTACAGTTAGATACTTAAATACTTGTTGATTAATGTGAGATTTCATTTGCCAAGAGAAAGTTTAGTTCAAGTTCATTTGAAAAGTCCCTGAGGAAAGAATGTGTTATTCAAGGTAGGTTAGTTTTCAGTGTACACAGGCTGGTTTATAGAGAGGCCCTAGCTACAGGCTTCCAAGTTTCCATCCCTTAATTCAGCAAAGGGGAGGAAATCCAGGCTCTTGAGCTTGGCTGCTGCACGGTCGGTAAACTCTCTGGTAGCTTTCTGCAGGGGGAGCCGGGGTGGGCCCATCGGAATCCCAGACACCAGCGTCATGATGGCTTTGGTCTGTGCCACTCCAAAACCTAAAGAGAAAACATAACTGAGGAAATGTGCCTGGTCCTGTCCACTTTACCCAAGGAAGAGCTCACATGCCTAACAGGAATGACCATCCTACGAGAAGGTGAAAAAAAAAAATGGGAACATTAGTCGTCAGTATGACCGAGAGCTGGGTGTGGTGGCGCATGCCTGTAGTCCCAGCACTTGGGAGGCTGAGGCAGGAGAATTGCTGTGAGTTTGAGACCAGCCTGGGCTACAAAGTGAGCTCAAGGTCAGCCTGAACTGTATAGCGAGACCCTCTCTCAAAAAATAAAAAAAATAAAAAAACAACAAAAAAATATGACTGATGAGGAAGACATAGGAAATCCCTCTTCCTCCTTGAAATGCACAGAAATGCTGGAAGATGTTATTGACAAACTGTAAAATAAAAGAGAGACTCGAAGTCAAGCTTAAAACCCAAAAGGAAGAACCAAAGAAAGGTGTGAGGAATAAAGGAGTTGCAGAGATGAGGAGGAGCAGAAAGGAAATAGCCCCTAAGGACAGTCTGATTTAGGTACATACTGTTTCTTGCTAGGGCAAAGTTTACTTAAAGCTTATCTGAGAAGTCTCTGAGAAACTGCATTGTTTCAGGTGACTTATGACTCACTGCTGCTGTTTGTGCTGCAGTTATAAAGCTGGCACTGGAAGGGAAGATAAAACCTTGAGCCTGGGCAGGGATTTAAACCTCCTGTGTAAAACAAGCGGCCAGCTTCGTAATATGAAAAGCAACAGAAACCAGCAACCACAACGCTGCCCACTGGCCTGGGGATAGAGTGGTAAGGAAGCTGGACTCCTGCCAGGGCTGTTGAGGGAAAAGAACTAGCGAAAGAAATCCCACAGCTGGGCATTGTGGTGCACGCCTTTAATCCTAGTGCTTGGGAAGTTGAGGCAGGAGGATGGCCATGAGTTCAAGGCCAGCCTGGGCTACATAAAAATCTCAGGTCTAGGCTACCGGTGAATACTGGATTCAAATTTGCATTCTGCACTTGGTATAGGTATCAGACTAGGAAATTGACTTGACGACTGGGTAGAACTGGTGAAACTAAACTGTCCTAGCACTGGCAGATGGAAACTACTTGACAGGGCGATTTACAACCAAGAGTACTGTAGAGTGGATTATCCAGAAAACAACAGTCTCTGAAGATGAGCTCAGAGCTAGAAATTGCAAAGTACATGAGAAAAAGGAGTACAAGAGACTCCAAATGCACAAATGGCAAAATTCATAATCTAAAAAGAGATGACAGAAAATTCTGAAAGAGACCTCACGAACAAAGGAAGGAATACGAGCCACAGGCTAAAAGAAGAGCACATGGATGAAGAACAGGTAGATTTGGGGAAGAAGCCAAAAAGAAATACTGGAAATGGGAAAACACTGTATATTGAGGGAAACTAAACAGTGAGAAACACAGCTAAGAACTGGTGATTCTAGCTGGGCATGGTGGTGCATGCCTGTAATCCCAAGCACTCAGGAGGCTAAGGCAGTAGGACCACTTCGAGTTCAAGGTCAGCCTGGGCTACACATAATGAATTCAAGGCAGCCCGAATTACGTAGTGAAACTCTGTCTCAAAATGACAAAAAATTTTTAAAAAATGAAGATACAGATTTGAGTAGATCCAAAATTCATCTAATAGGTTTTTTTTTTTTTTTTTAGACAGGGTCTCACTACATAATTCAGGCTGCCCTTGAACTCACTGTGTAGCCCTGATTAGCCTCTAACTTGTGGTAATCCTCCTGTCTCAGCATCCCAACTGCTGGGATTACAGGCGTGTGTTACTACACCTGGCTCTAATAGGTTTTTCGAATGAGAGACTTGAATGCAGTTAAGGCAACATTCACAGAAAAGAGCAGAGATTTGGCCAGGCATGGTGGCACATGTCTGTGATCTCAGCACTTGGGAGGCTGAGGCAGGAGGGTTGCTCTAAGTTTGAGGCAAATCAGGGCTACATAATGAGTTCAAGGCCAGCATGCACCACATAGAGAACTTTTCCTATGGGGTGGTCTCAAAACTCCCCTATAAAAAAAGTAAAAAAAAAGCAGAGACTTTTTCTGAACTGATAGAAGATGAAGACTTCATCTAAAACAGATAAAAAGCAAGTAATTATTAATATGCAGAAAATATATCTCAAAATTATCTATCACTATCTGTGACTTGTTTTTTGGTTGCCTATTGGATTTAAGATAATAATAAGAACTAACTTCCTAATTTCCTTCCTTCTTTTCTCTGGGGGTTGACCCAGAGCTTTGCACATGCTAGGCAAACTCTATCACTGAATTACATCCCTATCACTTTTTTTTTTTTTGTCTTTTTGAGACAGGGTCTCACTATGCAGTTCAGGCTGGCCTTGAGCTCATTTTGTAGCCCAGGCTGGTCTCTAACTTGCAACTGTTCTTCTTTCTCAGCTTCTTGAGTGCTGGGATTACAGGTGTGCACCACTACGCCCAGCAATCCCTATCACTTTTTAAAAATTTTTATTTTGAAACAGGGTCTCACTAAATTGCCCAGGGTGTCCTCAAACTTGCAATCCTCCTGCCTCAGCCTCTAAAGCAGCTGGGATTACAGGCATGTACCACTATGCCTGGAAGCTTTCTTTTATTAAATTCATTTAGGTACAGTAGAAACTGAGCAACACCCCCCCCAAAGATATCTAGCAACAGTAAATTCTTTCAAGTAATATCTTTCAGTCATTTTTTATAAAACTGTTGCAGTATCATTGCTGGTAAGCAATGTCATCTTATGTGGTACAGAGGCAAGCTTTTAGTTCTTTTAAGATTTTAGTATTTTGGTATCTATTTTAATGTACTTTAGGAGCATATAACTATCACATCATACCCATAATCTTGTGAAGAGTGTGCTTAGGACATGGAAATAATAAAAGGTAATTAATAGCAGGGGTGGCACTGAAATATGGCACAAGTTATAAAAGTGGAAAAATATATGGAAATATTGCTCCGGAAAGACTAAGAGGGCGAGCTGTGCCCCTGGGAATGGGGGTACAGTGGAACAGGTGCATGGAGAGGGAGGTGTAGCTAAGTAGGACAAGGCAGAAAGGCTCCGAGGAGGAGGAAGGATGTCTTCCAAGAGTACACTTGAACTTTAGCTGGACTTGGCGTGGGTCCAACTGGCCCAAGGGCCCATCTCTTGCAGAAGTGGAGCGAATATTGTCATTTGTTTTGGAGTAAGATTCTGGAATGTTTTTTCCAGTCTAATTCGCTGTACTTCCCCCAATTTTACTTTGATATATTATCAAATCTCCCTCCATGTAAGCTTACTTGTGCTAATGAACTCTTTTTAAATTTTCACATACTCTTGGGAGAGCTGTCAGTCATTTGGCTGAATAAGATCTGCCACCTTCCAAGTTCAGGAGTAGAATTTTAATGTGCAGAGGCATGGGAAGGAAGGAATTGCTGATAGTGTAAGAGAAAAAGAATAGAAAATGAGGTGTGTCTGTGATGGATCACAAGATGCTAAAAGGAAAGAGAGACTGGAAGAAGACTGACAAAGACTACCGAGAGAGTTTGCTTCACGATTTTATAGGGTTGGCCCTGAGGATGTGTATAGGAAACAAAACCCTGCTTGTGACAGAGAAGTAGCAGTGTTCTTGTTAAACTCTCAGAGGAAGTGACACAATCCCATTTCCCTGACATTTGGCAGCAATAGACAGAGCAGAGAGTGGCACTTACCTAGTTTGACCACAAAGTTGATAAATCGCTGGATACAAAACTAGAAAGGAACAAACACATCTACAGTCAATATTGCTGAACAGTGAAAAGAATTAGAAGAATTTAGAAGTTAAGTTACAGAAACTCTAAGAAGTCTGCACATCACATTTTCTGAGTGTGTGTGTGTGTGTGTGTGTGTGTGTGTGTGTGTGTGTGGTGGGTCAGCCAAGTTAGGATGGTTGACATCCATCCAGGATAAAGTAGGATCTTTCCACGCACACAGGCTTTACAGAACTGGCCCACGCAGAGAAAGAAGCTCCAGTGATAAGACTGCCCTGGCGAGGGAAGTGGGAACGCACCCCTTATCCATCAAGCTCCCAAGGTAAACTGACCTCCTGGTGCAGTAGTTTTCAAGCTGGACTACTTGTACTTGTGGGGTACCTTCCAAGATACCTAAGGGATACTTGGCCAAGGCTTAGGTTTATAATAATAAACTTCTAGGTCAACTTCTACAAGTGCTGTTTTCTAAAGCTGATCAACAGTCCTGTTCTGATTTTGAAAAAATAGATCACTATTATCCCTACCGTAGGATACCTTTGGGGCACCAGATAAAAGCATTAATTACAATGTTAGTGCTGAGAAGTGGGGTGTACCTCGGTGGTAGAGTGCTTGCCTAGCATTCATGAGGCTCTAGGTTCCATCCCCAGCACAGGGTGGGGTGGAGTGGAGTAGGGTAGAATGGAGTGTAGGGGGGAACCACACACACAGAGATAGTATTGATACTGGTAAGGAATGTAGGGTGTTTCTTCTAACTAATGGATAACAAGTGATCCTGAAAATCCGAGAGTTTTTAATTCTTTGCTGTCAACACTGCGCCCCCAGGTTGTCAGGTGGAAATCATTAACAACGGAACATTCTAATTTTGGCATATGACCCAAAAGTGTTCAAAGAATTGAGTGACATCACTGCAACAGAACTTCCATTCATATGTACTGTTTTATATGGACAGGGTTGTGCAGCACTTACTGCTTTAAAAACACAGCTGAACCCTAACTAATCCTGGTGTTACAATTCATCCATATATCCATGAGCAAACTGGTAAAAAGAACCTCAGCTGCCTCTTTAAGAGATACATTTTCGGGGCTGGGGATTTAGCTCAGTGGCACAGCGCCTGCCTGGCAAGCGCAAGATTGTGAGTTTGATTCCTGGTAAGGCGGTGGGGTGGGGGGGGAGAGATACATTTTCAAAGACATTTTACTCTTATGTTGAAAAATATTTATCAAAATGTGTAAGATATTTATGCTATTTTAACCAGCTGTCTACTTAAAATAAAATTCAATATAGAATATAATCTTAATATTAAAAACCTTATAAACATAAATACATGCTCTCCCTTGAACGATCTATAGTACATTACATTTACTATCCTGTACTGTGCTGCTTTTTTCCATTTAATACATCACGCAGGCCTTTCCAGGGCAGCACAGAGATGTCATTCATTTCAAGGGCTGCGTACAATTCCACGGCATAACTTGGGCATAATGTATTTGGTCACTGCCTTACAGATGGACATTCGGGCTGTCTCTGTCTTTTGCTGTTATGAACACAACTGCAAGGAATATGTTTGTACACATGTCATTTCAGTCATGTAAATGTAACAGATGGCACTTAAGTCCAGGAGACTGAATGTGGCTAAGCAGAGCCCTAACTTTTACCTGTCTGCCTGCACTTGACTGAATGCTCTGGAGGGTGGTAGCAGGCTTTACTGAAGTTAGGCCCCTGGTATAAATTACCCGTATGCCAGAGTAGCCCCTGGCATATGAGTAAATGAGTCCCTGTCACCCTTGCCTTCTGCAAGAAGGCAGAGCACGTGGTGAACGGAATTCCTTACCAACACGATTTTGAATGAGATGATTTGAGTAGGGACAAAAGGGAAAAAGAGATAGAAACGGAATCAGCCTGCGGAGGGTTAACATCACACCTACCTCACTTTACTCCATTTGTGTCTGCACTGTCCTTTGCCTCAGAGCAGACTGAGATTTCCAGAAACAACTTTTACAAAACTAAGGAAACAATAACAACAAGAAACAAGGCCTGCAAAGAGATGGTAGCACTTCTATCATTCAGGCTTGTTATCCTAATTTGGTGTTTTTTTTTTTTTTGCGGTACTGGTTACTGAACCCAGGGCCTTCTCACTGAGCTATCTCCCCACCCTCTACCACCTTTTAAAATTTTGTTTGAATTTTGAGACAGGGTCTCACTAAATTTCCTAGGCTGGGCTCAAAATTACCATGTGCCTGTTTCATCCCCCCAGAGTGCTGGGGTTATGAGAGGGCACCATCAGTACACTTCTGTCATCCTAATTTAGAACAAAGTCTTGCCAGTGTTTAGTTCAGTTGGCACAGCCTCCGGTCCTGTTCTTGCTCTTCACTTCATTTGGTCTGGGGCCGGACAAAGGTAACTACTGAAACATAAGGAAGGTGTAGACTTCTGCTGGCTCAGCTTTGAGGCCTAATGGTGGGAATAACCAGGTCCGCCCTGCGCCCTGCTGCCTCCTGCTGTCTGGCGGATGGAGCAACAGGATACTCCCTCTAGCTCCCATTCAAATAGACCTCTCATGTGAGTTTTATTAGGACCAACCACTTGCTTCGATTTTGCGTATGCCCTTCCATCCCCACTTATCTTCCGAGCACTCACATTATCCTGAAAATCTCCATGGCTCTGGACCCCTAGAGGTCTTCCTCCCTTGTCTACCCTATTTCCTTTCTCTTCCTTCCATTTCTCTGAAGAGTACATCCTCTGCAGATATTTTTTGGTTTTCTTTGAGACAGCATCTCACCATGTAGCCCAGGGTGGCCTTGTACTTGTCACAGTCCTGCCTCAGCCTCCCAAGTGCTGGGATTACAGGTGTGCGCCACCACCTAGCTACTCTCCAGGGACTGGTAGTGAGGCTGGTTCTATCCTTCAGTGATGGTTTTCTTTCCCTGGACAGACAGGCTGTTTTCTGTGTAGCATTCCCAGCAGCCATGTCTTCTCTGTAACACATCAGGCAGGCCGCCTTTCTCTTCCTGTTTCATAGCTGGGTCTCCCTTTGGATTTCCCATGAGGCTCTTATTTCCTGCCTGGTGATGCTTGCTATTCTCAGCACATTTTCAGGGTGGGAAGGACCAATCTGCCCTGACTTTGGATTAAGCCTTCCTTGTCTTAGGTTCTCTGGCTTCACAGCTTCCTCAAACTCTCTGATGACTCAAGTGGGACATCCTCAAAATGATGGCCACGTGAGGTCATTTTCCCAGGAACTTGTGACTGCTATTTTATAGTCACAAAGGTACTGTGAAGGGGCTGGGGATTTAGCTCAGAGGCACAGCGCCTGCCTGGCAAGTGCGAGGTTGTGAGTTTGATTCCCTGTACTGGAAAAAAAAAAAAAGTACTGTGAAGATAGGGTAAAAATAAGGACCTTTCCAGGAAGAACAGAGAACTCATTCCCTTGTGAGGCCTGCCTTACTTAGACACACAGGGGAAAGATTCAGTTGCAAACTAGAAAAAGTAAGAAACAAACAAAAAGGTACAGCAAGGGGGCAGTGAGGCCACTTTAACGAGGGCAGATGTGGCAGGAATGCAGATGAAAGAGGAGAAAAGATCTTCAAGTAGGGGAGGAAAAAGGCTGTGATTTACGTGATGGGAAGAAAAAGCTCACCTGATACTTCAGGGCTGAAGAGAAGTCCTTCCGTTCAAAGGCCTCCAATATCTGGTTCGTCTTTTTTCCCAGGTAGTTGTAAGTGCTGACAAGACAAGTGCAAATATTGCAAGTTCAGTAACTCACCGGGGAAGGCCAAGATCTTCACACTTTTGTTGTTTAAAAAGCACAAAAACGACCCAAGTATCCCTATTCCTATTTTCAGGTCCTGTCCATAGGGGGTCAGGCTGTCTTCAGCTCTGGGTTCGCCAGTGAATGAACGGTGCAGCAGGGAAGGCAGGGAGCACCAAAGGGGCAGGAAAAGGAAGAAAGTGGAAAAGGGGTTTAAAAAAAGAAGAGGTGTGTTTGGTCACAGGGTGCGTTTGATGGAGGCCAATACTCGGCCCAGGGCACACACAGTGCGGGAGAACTGGGGACAAAATCAAGCACCCGAGCTGAGTCCTAAAGCACTGTGCTGAGAAACCGGGTGCAGGGAGCACCACAGTAAAAGTAGCAAATCCCAACAAATCATCTCAGTTCCTCGCCAGAAGGCTTCGGTGTGACTACTAATGTAATAATAAAGTTAAGGACCATTTATTAAGTGCTTATCATATTACAGGGACTTAACATAAGTCATGTTCTCCAACCCCTGGAAAGGGGCCTAGTTTCTACTTTTCTCAAAAAAAGACTGCCAAAGGACAGGCATGGTGGCCCATGCCTGTAATCCTAGCTGCAAGGGAGGCCATGGCAGGAGGACCACAGGGTCAAAGTCAGCAAGACATTGTCTTAAATAAAATAAAATAAAAATAAAATGAACAGCACCGGGCATGTGGCTCAGTGGCAGAACATTCAAGTGGCATGGCCCTGGGTTCAATCCTCAGCACTAAAAAAAAGTTATTGACTTGGATTTTCTTTTTTTTCTGGTACTGGGGATTGACTCCAGGGCCTTCACATTGACCTACACTGCCAACCCTTTTAAATTTTTTTTATGTTGAGGCAAGGCCTCACTAAGTCTCTAAATTATCCAAACTAGGCATTGCTATTAGCTGGGATTACAGGACTGTGCCACCATGCCCAGTTAACTTCCTAATATTCTGTAATAAAGTAAAATTTACCTTCTTTTACATAATCTAATTTGAATGGATTTTTGCTATCTGTAATCAACTTTTTTTTTTTCTTTTTTTTTGAGATAGGAGCTCACTATGTAGCTCAGGCTGGCCTCAAACCTGCAACAAACTCATAGTGACCCTCCTGCCTCAGCCTTCTAAGTGCTGGAATTGTAGGAGTATGCCGCCACACCCAGCTAACGTTATTTGTAATCAAATTTCTGGCATCAATAGTGTGGTGGGTCACGCTTACCTGCCCACCGCTCCAGTTGCTCCCATCACCAGGCCACTGAGCAGCTGCTAATGAGAGACAGACAGGGCACATTCACTTTTATGAAAAAGTGAAAGTGGAGAGATGCTACCATATAAACAGCCTCATGGACTGCTTTGGAGAGAAACTGCCCTGCTGGGACACACCAGGGAGTGACTTACCTCGTCCACCCCAAAGAGGAAAGAGAACTGTCGCTGGTGATTCTGATCAACACACTGCCCGAAGTCTAGGAGGTCGGTGTCACTGAATTTCAGACCTTGGAAGGAAGGGATCTTATCCTGAATCCCATCCAACAACTCCTCAGCACGAACTGTTCAAAACAATAAATGCCCATCAATCCATCCAGCAGCAGAGACCATCAAACAAGATCTCGCATGGTCTTGTGTCAACCCTGAGCAGCTTGGGCTGTTGTTTGCCAGAGTGGACAGCAGGTGGCATGATCACCTGCCCCTGCTAAGCGGTTCCTATGCACCTGTTAAATTATTATTATTATTATTTTTGTTTGTTTGTTTTCCGGTACTGGGAATCGAACTCACAAACTTGCACTTGCCAGGAAGGTGCTATGCGGCTGAGCTAAATCCCCAGCCCCATACCTGTTAAATTATATTGTTTTTTTTTTTTTTTTTTTTGCACTTGCCAGGAAGGTGCTATGCGGCTGAGCTAAATCCCCAGCCCCATACCTGTTAAATTATATTGTTTTTTTTTTTTTTTTTTTCCGGTACCAAGAATCGAACTCACGACCTTGCACTTGCCAGGCAGGTGCTGTGCCGCTGAGCTAAATCCTCAGCCCCTGAACTGTTAAATTATAATCCAAAAATTTCCACTCCTTGAGGACACTAGCTGGATATTGTGATGGTGGCTATCTGTATACTTGGTCTCTCCTCACAGTTCCTGTGACAGTGCTCTCAAAAGCCTTGCAGATGGAGGAACTAGGACAATCTTCTGTTTTGATATTTCAGTGATGGCGAACCTTTTAGAGCTTTCAATGATCACAAGCAGCCTGCAGTGGCACCTGTACCATAGGTTCGCCACCACTGTGATATTTGCTTTTGGACCCTGGTTTCTGAAGTGGTGTTTCTAAGACTTTTGGAATTTCCTTTGTGATCATCATCTGATGATTTCTAAATCCTTTGGAATGTGTTGGGTGACAGAGCATCTTGTTCTTTTGCTTTTCCTTGTTATTTAGAGACAAGGTCTCACTTTGTGATTCAGGCTGGCCTAGGACTCATGGTGATCCTCCTGCCTCAGCCTCCTCAGTGCTGAGATTACAGATGTGCGCCACCACACCCAGGTCAACAGAAGTGTTTTGTGATCTAATGAGGTGACTTCTGGTGGGCTCCTGGACAGTGTGGATGTCAGGACCTAACCATGTGATTAGGGGGTTGGGACTTTTAGTTCCATTCCCCAATATCTGGGAGAGGAGAGGTCTGAAGGTTGAATTGATCACCAATAGCCAATAATGTAATCAATCATGCCTATATAATAAAGCTTTCATAAAACCCCAGAGGACGGGGTTTAGAGAGTTTCTGAGTTGTTGAACACATGGAGACTCCTGAAGGATGGTGAACCCAGGGAAGAGATGGAAGCTCTCTATCCCTTTCCAAGTTTCTCTCCCTATGTATCTCCTCATCTGTATCCTCCAAGTATCCTTTGTAGCACACAGATAACAGTAGGTGAAGCGTTTCCCGGAGTTCTGTGAGTGGCTCTAGCAAATCAGTCAAACCTGAAGTGGGGGGTGTTGTGGGAATACTGACATTGCCAATTCATCAGAAGCAGAGATTGAAAGCAGGGTCTGGAGACTGATGTTTGAAGCAGGGACAGTCTCCTGAGACTGAATCCTTGGCCCGTGCGATCAGATGCTATCTTGAGTCAGACAGTGTCAGAATGGAGCTGAGTTACTGGACACCCCACTAGTGTCCGATGGAGGAGCCGTTGTTAGTGGGGTGAAGTCCCCACGCATACGAGTATTTCATTTTGGGGACCAGAGGTAAAGCGTTTAGTGTTGAATGGGGAGTGTGAGAGTAAGGAGTGGGAAGCACTTTGTTTTTCCTCAGAATTTATATAAAGCACAGTCTCCATTTTTTTTCTTTTTATAGAATGTAGAAAATAATGGCTTTAAAAATAATCTAACCAATTTCTTCTAATTGTGAAAAATCATCTCACTGGAAAAGTATAGGACTACTAACAGAAAAGCTCGAGGAAAAGTCAGCAAAAATCGCAATACCTTCCTATGGGCTGGGTGCTGAGAATACGGTAGGTACAAGGTGGAGACTGTCCTGCCCTTGCCAGGCTTGTGATCTTGTGTCTTCTGAGAATCAGAGGCCTAAGTGATGCAGGGACAGAGTGTGCGCTCTAAGCGCCTGGAGGCCAACTCTTCTGTACTTATGAACTTCCATTAAAGGTGATGTAAATGGCTGCTAAGGGCTGGAATAGGATGGCGGCGTATTTTGGGGCAACCTGAACTGGCTCACCAGTAATGCTGTGCGTTTGTAGGATGGAGTGGGGTATTTTTAGTGAAAGAGGGTAAGGTGTGAGAGTCCGGAGGAAACATCAAGAGAAGCAGTACTTACTCTTTACCCCCGTCAAGGCAGGAATGTGATAGTAATAAAATGGCAATGAAGGGGCAGCCACCGCCACTTCCTTTAGAAAATTAATCAGGACATCTGCAAGGACAGGAGGAGAAGTCACGGTGTGAACAAGGGTAAAACAGGGGCTTTCCTTGGTAAAAAATGAATTATCTGATGAAACGCAACCATCTGCCTCGGGAGCTGAAAATTCTTGACTTCTCCTCACCATTCTTGATACCGCTATTGCAATGTCTTTTTTTTTTTTTTTTTCTGGTACTGGGAATTGAACTCAGGACCTTACACTTGCCAGGCAGGTGCTTGTGCCGCTGAGCTGTATACCCAGCCCTGCAATATCTTTTCAACCATTTCATTAAGACTTTATTTTCCTTTCTGTGGAAAGCCCAAAATATAATGATTATTTTCCTACCATACTAAACTGCCATTAAAAAATCAAGGCTGAGGGTATAGCTCAGTGGTAGAGCACATACTCAGCATGCCCAAGGCCCTGGACCCACTCCTTAGCTAACCCCGCTCCTCCAAAATAAATAAATAAATAAATAAATTGGTGCAAACTTCCCCATATTGTAATAGACAATCATCTCATGCTCTTGTAAAAACCAGACACCAGTCAGATGGGACTCCTGTCCTCTCAAGGCAGAGGGCTAGACGTGGCAGAGACTGTGCCCAAGAATCAAAGTACTACGGTTGTTACTGAGAAAATGACAACGAAAGCATAAACAACATCTGCTTCAAGGATGAAGTTATAAAACCGGTGGCACATTTTACAAACAATCAACCAGAGCTTGGAGAGGTCCAGACAGACCAGAGGGCACTATTTACTGAGGGAGAGCAACTCCCTGTGTCCTCTCAGGTGAGCTCCAGCTGGAAATTACTGCAGAGGACAAATAAGTCCAGTGGAACTGCTTATCCTTTGGCTGCAACTAAATAGTAGGAAAGAGAATTTTATGTACTTCCCCTCAACACTCTGATGACTTAGTCTGTGATACGTGTTTCAGATAAAATTATGTATAATTCATTATTTTGCCTCTTAGAAGTTCTGCTTATATAGCAATGTGCAAACCCATGTGAAAAACTTTTAAAATGTTCATTCTAAATTCTCAAATTAGATTGGGTATGGTAGCACACGCCTGCAATCCCAGCACTCAGGAGGCTGAGGCAGGAGGATTGTTGTGAGCGGGAGGCAAGCCTGGGTTACATAGTGAGTTCAAGGCCAGCTTGGACTATTTATTGAGTCCTTGCCTCAAAAAACAAAACAAAACAAAATAAATCTTAAATTAGCAATGTTTAAGTTACTTCCAACATTAACAATTTTGTATCTACCAACAGTAGGTGATATTTCATGATGATTTTGAACTGTTAAATGTTTAGCTATGGATTTTTTTAATCATGGGTATAAATAATATCTATTTTTAACCTTTGCATTTCTTTTATTGCTGATCAATAATGATTAAAAAGTCTTGGTATACTTGGATACATAAATAGTTTCCATGGAGTAGGAAGTAGAGGAGGAAGTTCTGATGTTTTGGAAGACGAAGGACCTTTTTGTTAAATCTCTTTTCAAACTTATCATTACTCATCAACTCTCAAAAGCATCTGTAGTTTCAAAAGGCCATTCTCCTGTACTCCCCTGTCTTGAGAAAAATAGTTCTGTGCTTTGCATGTGATTCTGATACATATGTAACTGACCGGCTAGGTACCCTCCAACCAGGGCTCAGTAGATGATCCAATCAGATTACTGGCAAAAGAATTAAAGTGCTTTAAAGCAATGTATGTAATAGATGTAGGGGGAGCAAGTATTCCAGAGAACCACTACACCCTTGCAACTTCCAGCCGTATGACGTCATGTATTACATATGACTACTCTGAATGGTGTGAGAAGTAGACAGTGCGAGGTGCTGTGCATCCAGACCCAGCGATTTACCTTTGTTCCATGGCTTGAAAAAGAAAGGTGCAATGATAGCAATGCCATCAGCTCCTATTTCTGCTGCGTGTTGGGCCTTTACAAGAAGAACATACTAGATTAAGTGATTTATTACAGTCATCTGCAGCTCAGACATCAGAGTACCTTTAGAGAGTGGAAAAATTGGCCAAATTAATGAGGGTGTCATTGCCAGAAAAATCACAGGTTGCAAAATAGAGGTCCCTAGTGGAGAAAAGCCAGGCACTTAATACTTCCTTGGATTCTGTCAGTGCAAAAAGCCTTGCTAGGGAAATGTGTGGTTAATTTAAGTTGTAACTGTGAGGAGAGACTCTTGCAGGTATAATGTCTTCCACTGTTCAGCCTACTGGATAATACTGTCTTTCTTATCTAGTGGCAGGTTGGGAAGGCAGCTGAGAAGTTAAGAGAAGATTATACACATCACAAGACAGATTGCACCATACTTCTGAGGTTTTCTCAAATTCCCCTAGAAAAAAATTAACATTTCCTCTGGCCGTGCACCTCACAATATTTTTAATCTACCTCAAGTCCAGCACCAAGACCTGTATCACATTGTAGGACAGCTGTATGTGGTGACCGTCCCCTAATTAGAGTGTGAATCCTCCAAGGGCAGGGTGCAGATCTTCTTCACCCTTGTGTCCAGGTCAGTCACAGAGCCAGGCACACAGCAGGGCCTCGGCAGATGTTTGTTGACTGCTTCGGAACATGCTTCACCACCCAGGGGAAAGGGCCTTCTTGATGAGATCTTAACTTACAATATCAGTATCTAATAGATATGATTAACTTTCTGTAGAAGTAAATTAGATCCAGGCATGGGAGCACAAGCCTATAATACCAGCACTCAGGAGGCTGAGGCAGGAAGATCACTGCCAGCTCAAGGCCAGCCTGGGCTACATAGTGAGTTCAAGGCCCTGAACTGCACAGTGAGGCCCTGTCTCAAAAAAAAAAAAAAAAAAAAAA